GTGGCAAGACAGTGATAAAGGAAGATTCACCTTCAGGCTTATAAACAACGTCACAGAACAGCAAGGGATGAAGTGGTTGAAGACTGATCACCAAGTTACGCAATTTCTCACAGGACACGGAGATTTTAACTACAAATTGCAGGGCTTCTCGCTGGTGGATACATCGCTGTGTGAGTGTGGACAGGAAGAAACGGCTGAGCATACTTTGATCCACTGTCCAATCTATGATATGGAAGTTCGTCAATCAGACACACTAATGGAAATCGCACTAAGCCAAGGAAACAACGAAGAGGAATTGAGAAGAATCCTTACTAAAAGAAACTTTGAAGAGATCAAGAAAGTTATGAAAGCAATCTTAAGGAAAAGAAGATGAATCAGAAACCCAACATCATCGATCTAACGTACACCCGAGAACAATTTAAATAAAAATAAAGGGGACATTAAAATGTAGGTAGGGAATGCAGAAAGAAAAGAGGATAGACCACTGGTATACCTAGGGCAGGGTACAGCGGGGGTGGCCGGAGGGTGTCCTCCTACATGTCCCTATCTCGTGGGCAGCTCTAGTGGTATTTAATGATAGTTGGTCAATAATGCAGTTAAGTCAATTTTCCTCTGGTTACTGTGTTGTTACACAGTTAGTAAGAGAGGGAATAAGTTTATATGTAATTAGTATGTACTTTCCACCAGGGGATGATATTAATATATTATTGGTAGAGTTAGAAAGAATTATGGAGGCCTTGAGTGGGTGTTATGTGTTGATTGGGATGGACTCGAATTCTAAATCACCGGTTTGGGGTAGTAAGCGGCTGGATGATAGAGGAGAATTACTTATGTCAGTGTTGGATAGATTTGGGTATCGAGTATTAAGCAGGATATAGTACCAACTTTTAAATCATCCAGGGGTTCATCATTTGTAGATGTTGTTGCGTATGCCTCTTCTTTAGATTTGAATATAGATAATTGTAGAGTTTCGCATGAATACACCTCTTCGGATCATGCGCTTATTACATATGATATAAGTTTTGGAATTGTAGGTAAAAGAGATAAAGATAATTTTGGTATTTATTTAGATAAAGATGGGATAAATTGGATAAAGTATAGAAATATAATTAATACATATATGGATCAACATAGAGTTAATTTAATTGAGAATAAAAGTGATTTAGTAAGGTGTTGTGGTGTAGTTCATATGGCTATGAGTAGAGCAGCATATATTGTATCAAAGGGAAAGAGAGTTCGTTACTATAAGACAAGGTGGTGGTCGGTAACATTAGATGGATTGAGAAAGATGGTAAATCAATTACGGAAAGAGTATCAGCGTGAAAGGGATATTGTATTTAGAGATTTAAAGAAAGAAGAGTATAGAGTTAATTATTGTAGGTATAAACAGCAAATAGCCCATGCTAAGCAAAGTTATTGGCAAAATTTTGTCGAATCTACGTCTATAGGGATATGTGGGGGACACCTTATAAAATTATAAGGAAAAAGATAAATATGGATAACATTTTATGTTCTATTAAGGATATAAATATTCCTATAGATTGGAAGGATTCAGTTAGGAATTTGTTAAAGAAGTTGTTCCCCAAAGATATTAAGGAAGAAGATACATTGAAGCAGAGTAATATTAGGTTAGAAAATGATAAATATTTTAGTGAAAATATTTCGGAGTTATTTTCAATGGTAGAATTACGACAGGTTGTTAATAACTTAAAAGGGAGAAAGGCACCGGGTTTCGACAATATTTCTTATATTATGATAAAACAAGCTTTTCCGGTAATTAAATATGAATTATTGAGGATATATAATTATTGTATGATGATGGGTGTGTTTCCAAATCGTTGGAAAATAGCAAAATTGATAATATTATTTAAGGATAAAAATAGAGATAGGAGTATAGCTAAGTCGTATAGGCCCATCTGTTTGCTTTCTAGTATGGGAAAGATTTTTTAGAGATTAATTAAGTTAAGGTTGCGTAAATTATTTATAGATTATATGGATGAATGGCAATTTGGTTTTAGACAAGGTCGTTGTACTAGTGATGCGGTCCGGCTATTGTGGAGGTGGACAGAAATTTCAAATAGGAAATATGTTATGGGAATATTTGTTGATATAAAAGGGGCATTTGATAATATTTGGTGGCCCGCGGTATTCCAGGTCTTGCGTTTGAGAGGGTGCCCTATGGATTTATATAGGGTTTTGTTTGATTATTTTGATAACCGTATTGTTCGGTATCAGCATGGGTTACAATACGTTGAAAAGAAAATAACCAAAGATTGCCCGCAGGGGTCGGTACTAGGCCCTGAGTTGTGGAACATAATATTTAATGAAGTTTTGATCAATTTTAGGCGTCTTGGGTATAGGTTCATAGCATATGCAGATGATTTGGTAATTTTGGTAGAAGGGGATAGTAGGACACAAATTGAAAGTGTGGCGAGTGAGGCGGTTCGGAATTTGATGAATTGGTTGGATGAGTATAAATTGCAGCTTGCACCATCGAAGTCGATGGCAATGCTGTTGAGGGGGTTTCTCAGCCCGGATCGCCCCCCCCAGCGTGCGAACGGGTACAGTTGCTATTAAAACAGTTACCTCTGTGCGTTACCTTGGTGTTCGAATAGGTACAAGGTTAAGTATTAAGGGCCATATTGATGAAGTAACTCATACGGCTGTTGCTCAGTTCAGTAAACTGCAGGGGCTGTGGGGTTCGAGGTGGGGGTTGCGGCTTCCTGCCCTGAGGACCCTTTACAGACTCCTGTTTGTTCCAGTAATAACTTATGCCGCTGGTGTGTGGGGCGACGCGCTGGGGCCCTTTCAAAGGAACACGCTCATATAAGCACAACGTGTTGCCTTGTTACTGTTATCTAGGTCATACCGAACTGCCTCAACGTTAGCTTTGCAATTAATTGTAGGCGAAATGCCTTTGGATTTAGAAGTAGAGTTAGCATATAAGTATTTATTAAGATCAAAAATTCAATTTACTGTCGGATCTGTAATGTTTCCTGATGATCGTTATGGACTTACTAATGCTCAGATTGTCGGATCGATCGGGAAAGAATTATTTAAGAAGTGGAATAGTCGTTGGATAGAATCGGATAAGGGTTGGCATACCTTTGGGATTTATTTTCGGCGGGAGCAACGATGCGACTGCCGAGGGTTGTTCCCGATTATCATGTGACACAAATTTTAACGAGACATGTCGATTTTACATCGAATTTACATACTTGTAAATTACGTGAAAATGATTTCTGTGAACGTGGCACTGTAGATACACGTATGCATTTCGTTTTCGATCGTCCACTCTTGGCAACGGTTCGAGCGCAAACTAGGTATTTACAAATTGCTAGTGATGCAGGTAGTCGGGTGAGTAATAACAGTATACGTGTACAGGTTTTTAAAGTTTTAAAGGAAATGTTTTCGTACAGACTCAGGATGAGATGTAACATATAGGGTTGGTATTTTATTTTCTTTCATTGTCTTCCTGTTACGGTAACACGCAATTTATAAGTTCGACTGTCAATCTGTACAGATGCATATCTACACCGTCGACGTCTGACCCCCTGTGTATCACGCATCTCATATGTCTTAAAACAGACGAAGCTTTACCAGGAGAGCTCGGCCTTGTCTGATCATTCTGATCCGATCACTACTTGTCGTACTACATGTCGACCGTTTACTGCTGCGTACGCAACAAACATGTTTCGACTTTGTAAACGTGCCGACGTATGTTTTTATTATTCAAAATATATATAAACGGTTTGCTGTATACTAGTTAATACGACGATTTTTGTCTCTGTAATCCAAAATTATTCTTCATAGACAAATCTCACAGCAATCTTATTGGCAAATTTAATTTATTTCGTAAAGACTACATCGAATGCATTTCGGGCTGTAAAAGTGCAACAACGTACAAATTTTACATATTGAAAAAGATATATATAAAAGAAAATTCAAACACCATATAGAAATTAGAAAACAAAATACTAATAATTTAATAAATCAGTCAAAAGGGATGGAAATAAATTATAGCTGGTATAATCTGATAGATGGCGCTAGAATAAAATAAATAGTTATATATTAAGACGTCATCACTTGATTACTGTTGTGAAGTGTTGATTGTATACGGATGCTAATCATGTTAAAAAATCTTTGGAATTATCTATACAATTGTTTGTCAAAGAATATTTTAATAATCGGTTGGTTTTAGTATGTTACACGTGTGTAGAAAAGTTTCTTAAACTCGTACGTATAAGTATTGTTTAAGATATTACTTGTATTAGCCTTATATTGTTTTGTACGAAAAAAGATAATTGTAATTTTAGGATTCCTACAAATATGTGCAAAGTTTACCACCCCTTCCCATGGAAATATCAGAGACTAAAATCGTCATATCATTAGTTTTTATTATTGTTTTTTCCCCCCATCTCTTTCATGACGTTCGTATCATTCTATTTATTACATAGTCATTATACGCGTGTGCAAATATACATATATATATATGTATAAGTGTGTTACACACGCGATTTCATTATTACTACTGTGCTAGCCGCTGTAAATGTTCAACGTTCTCATTACCGTCACCTTGCTTTACCCGGTAACGCTCTGCGGAAGCGGGGACGTGTGTACGGACATATTACTATGAAACATATCTGCATCTGTACGTGCGTCCGTCGTCCCGTTTCTCCTGCGGCCTCCCGCCCGTCGTACGGTCGCTGTGGCGTCGGCGTTCGCGCCGGCCGCCGACTCCTGTCTTCGCCCGTCTCTGCCGTCGTGTTCTTCCTTCCCTTCCCCGCATGTGTACGCAAAATGCATCGGCTGGCGCCGACAACGGCCTCTCGTGTGTGGCATCGGCGTTCAATCGGCCACGCCTCTGTGTCGTTGGCACGCCGTTTGCGGTCGTACCGTCGATCCCGCCGGTTCGTTTGCATACGGTTTGGGACGTAGGCCACGCCTCCTCGTCGTTTGCATGCCGTTTGCGGTCGTTCCGTCGACACCTCCGACTCGTCTGCATATGCTTTCGGTCGGCGACGCGGCCTTATAAGCAGGACACTTTCCATCACGGAATGCCTTCGTTGTTTCGCACTGGCGATGCACCGTCGACGAACGTCTGGCAACGTCAGCATCTGCAGTATCCAACGAAATGACATCGCGACCGGTAAGTACGTGAATCACAGTGCCGAACAGTTTTCCCGAAATCGAGCTTCGGTAGCCATAAGGACCAAGACGGAGCTCGTCAGCAGTCATCGACTCAGTCGATGAACGCCATTATCGTTTTGCAATCGATGAAGGCCGTTTTCCTTTCTCGCCCGCAGACTCCCGATTCCTGCGCACGTGCGACGCCAGTGTCGGCCGGCCTGATGCGGTTTTTTTGCTACTTGCGGGAATTCGGCGTCCTCGACGCCATTTGTGAAGGTTCGTAGCGACTTTTTCGCCGGCTTATCCCGTTCGTCTCGCTCGCCACCGGATCGGTTTTTTCCCGACTGTTTTAACTTCTGCCATGTTTTCTTTTCCGACAGTGCTCAGCGACATGTACAAGCAGCGACCTCGCCCGGCAGATCCCATGAGGTACGGGCCGTACGCAGACTCTGTCCTCGGTCCAATCACATCGATACGGCGTCGGATCGGCCAGCGAATTTCCTTCCTACGTTTCCTTTTCTCCACAGGTACCTACAAGAACGGCTGTGTACCGACCAGTCCCTGCGCATCGGCATCCTGATGGTGCAAGTGGCTGACACGAACTGTTGGTTGGACGCGCTGCAAGCCGAACTGCACGACCTGCGTGCCCTCGCAGACGATATTTCCCAGCTCCGGGCAACGGTAAGGTCTCTTGGTTATCGTAGCTGCTGTCGTTTCCGCTTTGTTCCACCTATTGTGCTAATGTTACTGTTGTTGCTGTTATTTGTTACAGATGGACCGGAACGACGGCGACGAGCACTGACCGCCCACCTAGGTCGCTGTTAGCAATGCCAGCAACTACTTTCGTTACATGTATTCATTAGTTCGGAATAAACGTTTATACGTTCAGTCTTGTGCCTCGTTCGGTTGCCGTACGGAATAACTCGCAGTCGGTCTAGCGCGCGATATCGTGCGAAACACAAACGAAAAAACGTATGCAAACAAGTCGACGGGAATCGTAATGTGGGCCCGCAACCGTCAGTTGACCTTTCCGATAGTTATTCGTTTCGACAATCGCATCGCGTCGATATCGCCCTTTCGTCGGTCCTCCTGTTGTTCGCGTACGATGACAGACACGTACGTACGATTTGCGACGTTTCCCCAACAACTATCGATTCGACAAACGGAAGAAACCATGACGTGCTGCTCCGTTACCGAACTGGGTTTTACATTTTGTTACTTTACAAAACACTTCTTACCGAAAATACACTACGCATATACAGTACACGTAGTCACCTATAAACCGAGACGACGACGTTTAAAGTTCAGTCCTCGCTACCTCTACATCTGGTTACTGTTACCTTTCGCGCCCCGCTTCACCATGTATCGAGCACGGCGTATTGTATCTTCTTACGTCCGCATTAAACACTAACATTGTGTTTTCATGTAGACACACGTGGCAAATTCTCCATCGAATACGTTCGTTTTCGTCGACATTGTTACTCGTCGGGGCCTTCGGCCCTCTTCGGTCAACTGAAATACAATGCGTCCGTAGGACGTGTAACGGCAGAGAGTTGACATAAAGTAACGAGTACACGAATACAGATGTACCTTCTGGTTACACTTTGTATGCTTTACAAGCGTGACATCTGCTATAATCTTCGTACAACGGGTATGTATTGGAAACAAATTTAACGGTTAACAGTTCTAAAATCGTCTCAAATCAGCATAATTCGATACTACAAAGTGTAAAGCAATTTTAACCCCTTCCTCCCCGTCTTCACCTGGCACCGCCTTTCATATTTATTCCGATGCGTTGGTGTCTTACGCCATCTTTATCTGTATTACGCTCGTTTATGTGGCTTGGACCGAAAGAAACGAATTCGGTGGAAAAGGTGCCATGTATGTTTCGATTAAAACACAATATTACTGTTTCTTACGCCGCAAAGTGTGGAAACTGATTTCGCCATTTTCGTGCACTCGTGCACAGTTCAATCATCTTACGAACGATGGCGCCCGTTTACGCGAGCCTTCGCGCACAGTGTGTCCGATCGATTTCGGCTTGCGCACACGATTCCCCCCCCCGTCGGAAACTACGTGCACGCCTGCATTCGTTACTTACGCTGTGCGTTTTACGTTTTCCGTGAACTGACCAGTTTTCAACCGATGTTGCTACTTACGTAGACGCTCCAACGTCGTTCGACCGTAACCTGCAGGCCGACCGACAGCTGAAGTAGCATGAAGAATTTCGCGTACGCTGCCCGTCTACCTGTCCCTCCCTTTTCCACGTATCCCTGTCGTAACGAGTTCGCGTTATTTTCACATCTTCTCGGATGCCGGCAACGAGCAACGACTCGCCCAGTATTTCGTCTCTTCGCTCGTTCGTGTCGTGCTGGTTGCTGACATCGACCTTTCCGTCTGTCGATCCGTTGCCGAGGTCTTACGTCGGTTTCCCTTTCTGTCCTGCAGACGCGCGCGCACACACACGCAGAGACAGAGAGCGATGGGACGAGACCGGCGAGCCGCGCGTTCGCCTGGTCCTACGGACATCGCAACGGCCGAAATACCACGGTGTAAGCAACAGACGACAACACACATATTGGCCAATGTGAACAGTTTATTTGTTGACAAGTTTACACGTCCGAACGCGTCACGGTGCTCCTGCCGAGCGCCGACGGCGTTCCACTGGACCTGAAAAGAACGAAACGTTTCGTGAAACATCGTTGCCGGCTCGAAACGAAACTCGTGCGCTCCGACCGGTTTGTAATGTTGCCTACCTGTCAACGGTCTCCTCCGCCGTCTCGTCCGAGTCGTCGGAGATCTCGATCACCTGGATGTCATCGGAGCTCCTCGCCGTGGTTCGGCCGGGCGTCGTCGCCGCACGTCAGCTCGTCTCGTACTTCTTCAGCTGTCCGAACGAACCGAAATGCGCATGGATTAGATTGTGTTGGCCAACACGAAAACACGTACCTAACGTTACGCATCGGGTCGACCCACCCATGATCCTACTTACTCAAGCCCGTAGGGCCGCCACACGTTCGCGCTCACGGCGCAGCTCCAGTCGCAGAGCTTCGACGTACTGGAGCTCGTAGCTTCCCAGACTTCGGATGATTACGCTGCGAATAAACGAAACGACACCGTTAGGGTCCCGTTCATTGGACGAGAGGCTGGCAGGGCCAACCCGAAACGAACAGAACAACAACAACTTATGTGGCCGGATCTAACGGCTGCGCCGTCGCCGTCGTCACATGTTGCAAAGCTGAACACCAGAAGATAACAGAAACGATAAGTACGCTTGCAGCAAAAGCATTAATGTGCGCTGAAAATATACCGACCTGCTTCGAAGGAGTCCATCATGTTGGCCTTGTCCAATAACGCTAACAGCCTCTCCACTAGTTGGTCGTGGTTTCCGTCCTGTACGGCGTGAATGAAAACAGTGTTACTCGCAAAGACCGAACTGATCGTCATCACGACCGAAAAGGCTACTCACCTGCGCCAATGCCATCGTCGCACATTCGGACGCTTGCTGCGATGCCGGCCTTTTATGCTGAAGCTCGCCACTATCGCGCCCGTCCATGCAAATGTCATGCCTGCGTCACGTCATCCCGCGCCTAAACGGACTGGTAGGCGCTGCGATCGGGCGACCGTCCGCCGTCGTACGTTGCCCATTACCCTACCTACCGATTGCTGGCTTGTTTTCTTTACGTACACGTACGTTCCCCTCTCTCCTCACAACCCCGCGTCGACCCCCTATCACCTCCGGCCGCCTCCCCACTTCCGACTTTCCTCGTCGGGCCGTCGCGTCGCCAGTTTCGGCTCGTGGCGTCGCCCCCGCCTCCTACCTCCGCATGCCGCACTATTCCCCTGCAGCATGCATCCTTTCCCATCCTGCGCTCGCCTGCCCCTCCGTTCCCCCCTTACCATCCGCTCCCTTTCCGGTTTCAGCCTTTCCTAGTCTCGCCCGCACATCGCGTTTTCCGCCCGCACCACTCCCTCCGGATGCCGCTTTTTCCCCCGTCGCTTGCCTGCCTTCCCGTCCTCCGGTCCCGTGCCCGTCTATCAGCGTGCCCCTCCGTGCCCGCATTCGCTTCTGCTCCCTTTCCTACGTCCGCCTTTTCCGGTCAAGGCGTCGCTACGCGTTTTCTGCCCGCCGCCGCTCTTCCCCCTGCCTTGCTCCCCGCCTTTCCTGCCTTACTGTTCCGTCCCCATCAGTCGCCATCCGCCCCACTCCCCCCTTCTCGCGCTGTCAACTCCTGTTCTGGCCGCCGTTCGTAGTTGCGCAGACGTTTCGGCTGGTTCGGCCGCCGACTCTCTCCCGCTGCCGCCTTATTCTGTCTGGCTCGCGTCCGTTCGGCTTGTCCCGTCCCGTTTGCCTTGTCTCGCCATGCCCCGATTTCGGGCCGTCTCGAAGGATGCACTTTCAGACACGCGCTTCCGATCCGGACCCTTTGCATAACAGTTGACCGTACGAAACTAATTATCGTCTTTCCGCACGTTCCCCGATTTCACCGATTCCCATTCATACCGTTGTTATTCTTCGTACTTAACACGTCGCACGCAATGTCAACACTAATAACACTTCACGGTACAGTAGCGTCGTGACCGTCGGCCTAACGTCAAACTCGGCGAAATTGTGCGAACCATTTCATGCCCAATATCTGGTGGCAGGCACCGCGTAACCGGTCGCTGCCGACGACGTTCAACTGCTTTCCTCGGCGCCTGATCCTTCGATGTGACGTGTCGTTGCGGTCCGAACGACACGTCACATCTGCACTGGTCAAATACGAAACGGAAACATAAAACATCCGTCGCCAACAAATGGTGTCGTTCAAAAATAAAGCGACTTTCGGTATTTACATTTGTCCGCGTTCGCCACATGATTTGAAACATGTGCAATCGTATTCGAAATCGGCAGCATTGTGTGCGTGCGTATCGTTTCCGGCACTAACGTCGATGTGTACAACTCTTCTGTCACTTAGGCAACAAGAAAACGCACAAACAAAAACATCTCCGACAAATCCGAGAACCAACCGAATCCGATCTGAGCCGCGAGGGGCCGCTTCACCGGTTGCCGCCGACAATTTCCGACCGGATTCATCTGCGCCGATTCCAATGGAATCCTTTTTGTTCGAATTATTTCCAATACATTCCGTAACTTTCGATCGTCGATGTTTACAACTTTTCCTGCATTTACACGACAATGGAAAAACACAGTTTTGAATAGACCGGACAACAACCAGATCCGACATGTTCTGCGAGGAGGCACGACGCCGTTCGCCGCCGATGACTTACGGCCCGACCCATCGACGCTGCGTCGGTCTCGGGTAGGATATGGTCAGACTTAAAGGGGTAAGGAAGTTAAGAAGTGCAGGATTAATGGTGAGTTTAGCTTCAATTAAAGATAGAGATAGATTAGTAAAGAATGAGATGTTAGATAAGGTTGGCTTGAGTTTGACAGTACCCACTAAGCGTAGACCTCGGATGTTAGTCTCTGACGTTCCTAGAAAGGTTCAGGGTGATGAATTATTGCAAATAATATTTGCATTAAATAAAGATTTAGTGTATGGTGATAGAGATGTTGGTATAGATGAGTTTAAGGAAAATTTTAAATTACTTTATAGAACTGCACGGAAACGTGAGATACTAGTTAATTGGGTAATTGAGGTTTCTTCTGGTCTGCGACATCGACTTTTACAATTAGGTAGGTTGTACATTGAATACCGATCGTGTAATATAAGGGATTATTATGAAATACCTAAATGTTATCATTGTCAAGTCTTTGGACATATAGCAAAGTACTGTAAACAAGAAAGGGTAACCTGCTTTAAGTGTGGGGAAATGGGACACCAATGAAAAGATTGAGAGCTTGAAAGGCCTAAAAGGATCTGCGTCCCATGTCGTCGTTTAGGTAGAAAGTTTGATCATTACTCTAGGAATAGAACTTGTCAGGCTTATCATACGGCAGTATCACGATATAAATTAAGTATTGATTATGGATAGTTGAGT